TATATTTAAGAAAAACGGTAAGCTCAAAGCTACAATATTGTATAAAATCACTAATTAGTTTGGCTAAACTAATAGATTATGATAAAGTACGAAGTATAAGAATATTATTTAATTTTTTTTACATAAATGTTAGGTACTGGGTGTGGTCTATGTTTACTTTCTCGGACTGTGAATTGGGTTTTTTGGTTTGGAAATTCGCGCAAAGCTTAAGGAGGGCTATCTACGCTAGCAGTGAACGACTAGAGGGAAGGCAGCTAGTGATCACCACCCACTGCCAACACTTGGGCTACTCTTTTACCAACGAATATTGGGATTGACCGTCACATTATAATGCCACCACGGCTGAAAGGGCGAGCATGTTTGGTGGGAAGGATGATTCGAACCCGCGACTCGCAGATTACGAGTCGAGCACCCTAACCACCTGGCCATGCCAGGCCGGGACTGTGAATTTGAAGGGTCGCATCCTGTTGCCACAGAGACTAGCTTCACGCTTTGGAGCCGTGGGTGTGTTACACGAATGACAGTCAGATCCCACTATTCGATCAGACAAAAGTAGTCCCAAAGTTCGAGGTGAGTACTGTCGACTAACTACTTTCCCTTTAGTCTATTACTTCAAAATTAGAGTCGGCTGTACGCATGATAATAGTCTGCGTGTAGTTTTACGCGAAACTTCTAAAAAATGAAACAAACGATATTTTAGTCCTCACAGTTCAAATCATGATACAAGACTTATTTAATAAGGCCAAAGTTTTAGCAGAACTTGAAACACAGCCGTTTATATTTTCTTTTTTATGTCGAAAACGCTGTTGTTTTTGACACTTAAGAACCACATTTGTTCGTAAGACAGCTGTGTTTAAACCTTTAAGCAACAGTAGCGCACATACACAATAATAATAATAATATATAATAAAAGAAAACAAAGCACTTTTCATCAGTAATTTGTAATGGTTTTGTGGGAATTATTCGAAACTCTATAAATAAACCAACTGCAATCTATTTTTTATCGTTAACCATGCAATTACGCAACTAAATATTTAATCAACAAAAGAAAATTACCACGTTTCATTAATATTTAAATTCAAATGTCAAGCTCACCTAAGTTGCTTAAAGTGCCAACATAGGGAATTTTAAACACATTTCCTAAACTATTTGATGATCAAAGTTATGTTCTCTTCTTTTACTTCACGTTTTCACAATTGAAGATGTTACAGATCTAGAAAAAATAAGAACAATTTAAAGCAAGAACGAAACCAATGTTTGAAAACATTAACCAATTATACGGGTTTTAAATACAGTAAATTATATCAACAAAGTGGAACCTATTATAAATCGTATAGATGAACTTATAAGAATTAGAAGTGATTCCACAGCAACGAGGGAAGACAAACTTACGGTATATCTTTTATAGTTTAAAAATAAAAAAGGTGACCTTTATAACGGGAGATATATATATTTATACCAAAAATTAAACCAAACTCAGAGTGTGGGATTTTAAGGTTTAGAGGACGCAGTGGCTTCGCTTTTGGACTCGTAATCGGAAGGTTGTGAGTTGGAGACTGATACTCGTCATACTGTTGAGTGCTTAAGCAAGGTACTTTATCCCAGTTGTTTCATTCTACTCAGCTGTTAGCTGAGATTTAACCTGCAATGGATTGATATCCCGTTCAAAGGGAATGTGTCACCATTTCCATCCGCTTAAGGTTTAACTGAACGTTTCTAGCCCTATACTTGAAGAAAGTATTTCCAACATTGCTTCGCTGTTATTCACCATAGATATCTGAAATGTTTAACAATGACTCTTACAAGTATAAGCTAGAAACAAGACAAGAAATAATTCTTACTTTTATTGTGATTTAAAAGTGAATGATAAAACCACGTAATTCCAATTTTTCTGAATAGTGAACTGGTTATTAACTTAGTAAGTTTGCTACGTCATTCTGTTGAGTATTTTTTATTTTAATCCATAAAATATTTTTTAACACTGTCTAAAAAATTTGTAATAAAAATATTACGAATTTAAAACATCGTTATTTAAAAAATGAAGAAACATGGAGCTCAGCACCGGTTCCTATGTGGTATTTCGGCAAGGGGGGATGGGATTGACCTTGACCCTAAGGCTCACAAACAGGATGTTCAGTTAGAACAATTGTTTCTAGGGTAGGCTATGATAAACTATTTTTAATACTTTTTTTAACTTTTTGAAATCGTTTGTACAGAATGAATGCGTTGCTAAGGATGCTTTTAAATTTTTCAGTAGCTTAAAGCAGACAAAATTTAACGATGTTCCTTGTGCTAGCTATGATTGTTGTTTTTGAAGTTAAGCACAAAGCTACACAATGGGCTATCTGTGCTCTGCCCACCACGGGTATCAAAACCCGGATTCTAGCGTTGTAAGTCCGCAGACATACCGCTGTGCTACTAGGGGGCCCTCTAGCTATGATCGAGTTATTGTTTTCATATATAACACTAGATGAAACCGCTTATCTTTTTTTAACTTTGTGTTTTCTGAGAATGACATTGTACGGGTTATAATTGAAGACGTTTTTAAACCACTTTTACGTTTTGCGACGAAACAATCACTTTATGTTTAATAGTATAATCTGTGAACAGATTGATGGAGTGACTATGGGCCCCAGCCTTGTTCTTAACCTTGCTAACGTTTGGTTACGGTCCCGTCCTGTATTTTGTAATCCCGTGTATTACAGGAGATATGTTGATGTCACTTTTTGGTTATTTAGCAATGTTGGGTAGGTTAACGAATTTCTCCAGTTTTTAAACAGTAAACATCCCAATGTAAAGAACACCGTTGAAAATCAACAGAATGACAAACTTTCGTTCTTAGATATCCATCACCAGGGTATATTTACCACTAAAGTGTATCATAATTCGACTTTCACCGAACTTTATTCACATTTTGAAAGTTTCACTCCTTCAATTTTTAAATAAAATATAACTAAAACCCTGTTACACAGAGACTTTAGGGTATTAGGAAATCAAAATATTGTTGAAACAGAAGTCGTAAACCTTAAACAAATGCTTCGAAGAAACTGTTTTACGTTGTTGTTCCAAAATAGAATAATCCACACCAAAACCGAAGAACTAAATACCCCCATCTGTTGTTATGTTAAGTATACTGAAAAAAAAAAACTGTTACTTAAGTCATACCCAGGCCCGGCATGGCCAGCTCGACTCGCAATCTGCGGGTCGCGGGTTCGAATCCCCGTCCCACCAAAAATGCTCGCTCTTTCAGCCGTGGGGGCATTATAATTCGACGGTCAATCCCACTATTTGTTGGTAAAAGAGTAGCCCAAGAGTTGGCGGTGGGCAGTGATGACTAGCTGCCTTCCCTCTAGTCTTATATTGCTAAATTAGGACGGCTAGCGCAGATAGCCCTTGTGTAGCTTTGCGCGAAATAAAAAAAAACAACAAAAAGAACAATAAGTCATACCCTACTTAGGCAGCATTTAATGCATGATTATGAAGAAAATTATCAAACAGCTATATCCACAAATGTGGTTAAAAGGACTCTTCAACTTTAAAGATGAACAACCTCACTAGTGATATATGAGTTCACGTGCCCGAGGTACAACCAGGAATAAACCATAAACCACTATAAGGCTCTACAGTCGAAATAAATACCACTATAATGCTAAAATCTTCAATATCAGTATTATTAGCAACCACTATCTAAACGAATATGATTTTGTGCCTATACTTCCATGCAGTATTTGCCGTGTCATTTTCCATTTCGTGGAGAAAAAAATCTATTTTAAAGGATGCTACAATATCTTGTTATTAAGTTAAGAAAACCAGCTCTTAACCATTAAATACTCCTGTTTTTTTTTGTATATTATATAAAAGAATGAATGGTTTTTACCCAATTTTAATATTGCTTATTTACACTAAGTTTTGAAACAGAGAAAAACATAAAAATATGCGCAAAATACGAATAGTACTGGTAGTAATCGGTGTAATAACTGGTCAGTAATTTTAGGGTTAACTCTACAGTTTCCGTGAAGGGAATGACAGTTTTTACATCACAGAAATATTCCTCAGCCAAGTATAAGTTTTAGAAGTGTTACGTATTACAATTTCGAATGATCTGAAACCGAACTAAATGATAATTTAAATTAAGTAGTTATATAAATGCCGATATGTATCCAATTTATGATATTTGCCAACAAATTGATACACACACAGTTTTCTATTGTTTTTAATACAAATATATTTTAATACACAAACAATAATACAATTTACAATAATAGTTATTACAAATAGTTATTATAAACAATGATTTATGAACAAAAGTTTTACAAATTTACAAGCAATATAAAATCTTCTTTCTAGTCTGGAACTTCCTTGATGTCTTATCGAGGGTTCACCATGAGCGAGTTAATTTCGAGTTGATGTAGGTACAATTCACTTAATAGGGAGCTAGCTAGCCCTGTAGTTCTCGGTGATCACACGCCGATTACAGGTCGAGTTTCCACCGATGACGTTAAGTAATGTTTTCGTAAAAGTACTAATGTCCAATGTGAATCCACTAAAGTTAAATAGTTTGTAATGTTCGAAATTTATAAACGTTCCTGGTCAAATATCTGAATTTTCCCGATTAATAAGTTAATCACAATTATAGCTTACGGAGTTTATAGCACACTAATTATAGCAACCAGTAATAGATACTGTTTTTATGGCGCGTAGCGTTGGTTATATTTATAGGCGTGTGGAGAGTTTCTCGAAAATTTAGATTACGTAATAATACTGACGCTAACACTAGCGTTTACGTACACACACATATTGTTGATTCTTACATTCGAGAATCTTCTACAACTTTAGAGAATAGGCGGGAGTTTCGCAATACATATTTAATTGTATAAATTATGTACATTTCTAAATATAAATTTAATATAAACAAACATCGATATTAAAATAAATATATAATAATCAATCCGTCACAGAAGGCAACAATGAACCGTTTTTTTATTCATCACTTATTATAGGATTACTGACTAGGACTCCTGTTCAGTTAAAGCTGGGAGTCTCAACCATACCAATTCTTCATAATGGCGTGTTTGCTGCTGAGTGGATTACGAAAGGAACAGAGATGGGTCCATATCCAGGGGTTATTCGATCCAAAGGAGACCTGTGGATCACAAGTGATACTGACAAGGTTTGGGAGGTGAGTCTGAAAAAAAAGTTCGTTTTTAAGAAACGAAACCCACGGCTTAGACCAGCAGCGAACTATCATTTTTACTTCAGTCAACTTTAATAGTTAAAGTCATGTTTACATATCAATTTCAGAGAATCTTTTAAGTATTTTTTTTTTTTTACCTGTTAGCATTTCAATACACAACTACTAAAAAAAGTTTTGCAGAAATTAAGTATTATGTAGGGGTAGTTGTGCCAAAAAATACAGAAAAAAGGTATTGATGAATACACAAAACCATACAAATACCCCTACATAAATAGCCAGTAAGTACGAGTCAATCTTATAAGCTTATGGTTATTAACCAGTGTAAGATTATATAGCACTATGCAGTTTAAATGCTTTTATTCAAACCTGAATTCACGCAACTGACAGTAATTTAACATTTAGTTGTAGTTATAAGTTATTCTTGGAAATATTTGACTACTTGTATGGGGATTTTTGTATGGTTTTGTGTATTCATCCCTAACTTGTTTCAGTACTTTTTGACATTCCCATCCCTAAATCATACAAAACCTTTTTTATTATTCGTTTAACTCTTTTTTTGTAAACAATTTCATTAAAGTAGGTTGATGAATGAACATTGTTTTATTTTTATAATTCATTGGTAATATATATATTGTTAATATTGTATGAATTTTGTCAGTTTCTTCATTGCACTTGTAGAATGACCTCGGATATTGGTATTATACAATACATTTGGCTATAATAGATAATTAATCATCACTGGTCATAATCTTGACTTATTGGGGCTTAATGTTGAGGAACCTACAGTAATGAAAGAACATATAAAATATGTATATCTGTATCATCCCTATATTCATGTTTACATTATTTTTGGCACTGCCATTCCTACATCATCTTACATTTAAAAATGTTTGTTATTACTTTTTTCTCGGCCCATTCCTACGTACTAAGCTTACCGTGCTTAGCGTTTAGAAACAGAATTATTTGAACTTTTCTTATTTATTTATATAAAGTTTGGAGTCCCCCCCCTCCTATGGTTTAGTGTTAGTCTTGAGAGCTTATAATTCTAAAATTCTGGGTTCTATTCTGTGGTGGGCGCAATACAGATAGTCCATTGTACAATTTTGTGCTTAACAACAAACAAACCAAGTTTTCACTCTTTGTCATATAATTCATATTTAAAATTATTATTCAATTGTTATCAGAAAATTGATAACTATAGTATTTGTTTTTTTTAACGATGTTAAATCTAAAAATGGTAAACCAAAGATCTTACTAAACCTTATTAAACCCATGAAGTGAACCGCTTGTATTCGTTGCTCTCATAAAATAATTATTCTTGTATATATATATTACGCTTTTGTCCTATTGATTTTACACAGGAAACCTTAGAATACTATCGCTCCAAGCCATTGTTGACAAGAAGAATAGTGAAAAAATACATCTTCAGTATTAATGCCTTATGGCATGGCTGGACTGCAGTTCATTTAAGAGTTTACTGTAAACAGTGGTTTCAAGTTGACTATAATTAAAGAATTGCAACTTTTTAACTATCAGTTGTTGCATGTATATATAGTGTTGAAGTTTCACAGAAACATCTTCTCAATTGAATGAAGTATAATTTGTGTTACTTTTTACTATTTACTTTTATGGATTACGAAGCTACAAAGTTGTATTTTTTGTAAAACTTTGTCATTTTTATTCTAATGATGATCCTTATTGCTTTCTTCTTATATGAAAATTAATTAAATACAATAAAAATGCCGCTAAGATTTTCAGAACATTTCAAAACTGTTTTTACTCTGTGAATGAATGTGATTAATTGTTAATCTTTTTTTTTAATTACTAACTAATTAAGACAAATGTGCTAAAGTAAAGAATTTTCATTTTCTTCTATACTGCTGTTAAGTTTATGCGCTAATAAAAGGATATTGTCTTCCATTATCATCTTTAGAGTGCTTAAGTGTAGCTCAGAACTATATTCTTAAATCAAGAGGATTTTTACATTTAAAAACCGTCAATACATGAAAGCAGCTGAAATAATACTAGTTTACAAAGGTGATTTTTTTCCAAGTTTTTTAATTATGTAAATGTATATATATGTATAATATTATTTATACGATTATGTTTATTGTTTCGGAAATTCACGCAAAGCTACAAAGGGATTATCTTCTCTAGCCGTCTCCAATCTTAAACTAATCGAATACTAGGAAGACAGTTAGTTGACAGCACCCACCGCCAACTCTTTGGCTACTGTAATCGAATAGTAGAATTTGACCGTTGCTCTTATAATGCACCTAAGCCCCACATTGTAGCAACAGTGCGAATTGGACCCTTAGGTTCATAGTCCGTTGTCCGGAATGATAACCACTTGAACTTCTTTTTAATCATAAAAAGTTGAAGTTTTTTATTTTTTACTTTTTATTTCGCTTTGTCTTTTTATAATCCCAAGTTCTTCGACGGGTTTTACACTTTACTGTTTTAAAGCTTTTCTTTAGATTTGATTCTAAGGATGCCAACTGCTCAGTGGTAAGTCTGCAGGCTTACAACACTTAAAATCGGGTTTTGATACCCGTGGTGGGCAGAGCACAGTTAGCCTTTTGTGTAGCATTGCGTTTAACAACAACCAAACTTGAGTTAAAAAATAATTTTACTTTCTCTAGATATTTGATTGTTCTAATGGAGAAGTGGAAGAGTACGTTGACTCTCGAACCCATGTTATGTGCTCGTGGATGACTCACGTGAAATGTGCACGGAACGAGCAAGAACAGAATTTAGAAACTTTTCAAGTTGAAACGTCTGTATATTATCGGGCAATGAAGGTAAATTAATTTATTTTAAAACACAGTTTTAAGTCATGCTTCTAATAATCAATTTAGATTTGAAAAATCTGTCAGAACTTTACGTTTTTACTTGTTAACCTTATAATTACCGAAGGATCCATTCGGCTTTGTAAGCACACATTTCTGGACTATTTATACATCAGTCTGTTCGTGGTCCTGACTTTGTCACAGGAGCTCTATTAAGTCTCAATTACATAATAAAATCACAACTATTACTGTTTAGGTTCACTCTGTATTTAACATAGAAAATTAGTAATCACGCTCATTTTTGTCAATTCTTTACTGATGTTATAGGCTAAGCAGAAACACGAAATAACTTAATATGGTAGTGATTGATATAAAAACAAGTAGGTAATTTCAGGGTTAACGTTTCTTTCATTAGCAAAAAACATTGATTCTTCTCTATAGACGTCGTTATACATTGTTTTGCATTGATGACTGGAGATATACAACATATATTTAATTTCATGGTAAATAAAATGTTGTTAATAGAATGAAATCTAAGAAATGCTCTTTTTCCAAATAAAGTAAAAAAATATTGATAACTCCAAATTATATTTTTAGGATACTGTACCAGAAGAACTACTGGTTTAATACATAGATCTATTCCGTAACACCTGGGCATTCTAGTTAACAACAACTCAAAATGATATTTTTATGATATTGCACCAGAAGAACTACTGGTTTAATACATAGATATATTCCATAACACCTGGGCATTCTAGTTAACAACAACTCAAAATGATATTTTTAGGATATTGCACCAGAAAAAGAATTATTGGTTTGGTACAATAGTACTATTCCACTGTACATGGGCATTCCAGTTAACAACTCAAACTGATATTTCTAGGATATTACACCAGAAGAAGAGTTAATGGTTTGTTACAGTAGTGCTATTCCACATTTATATGGGCATTCTAATTAAAAATTCAAATTAAAATCTCAAACTGATATTTTTAGGATATTGCACCAGAAGAAGAGTTACTGGTTTGGTACAATAGTGCTATTCCACAGTATATGGGAATTCCAGTCAAGCTCTTTTCCGATGACAACAAGATTGAACATTCCGAAGGTAAGATGTGTTTCACCTGAAACGTATCAGATACTTTCTAAATAATCTCATTAATGAACCATGTTACTCACCCTAAGAAATTTTAAACAATAAAAGGATTGAACAAATGAAGTTTTTCTCTAAAATTAAACATTAAAGTGTTTGCATGACTCTCGTCGTCCTATGTGAAAATTCTTTTAAGACCTAACTTAAGGAAATACAAAATTATTGTATGTATAACATTTTTCTTTGGATTTTTTTTTACTTGCTAATAGCCAGACGTTATATTATCTTAATAAAATGGACTAAGTTAAATTATTGTCATATCTCCTTTATAATCCATAAAACGGATTTTGTGATATTTTACTTTTATAATTAATTAGGTTGGGAAATGGTTGAAGTAATATTGTTCAAATGTGTGAATAAATCCTATTTCGTATGCTATATTTCAAAAACATTTCATGTTAACCTTAGAATATATGAAGGAACTTCTACTAAAAGCACAATGCAAGTACAAGACAGTAACAATTATAAGTTGTAGAGAAAAAATAATAATGTTTCGTCCTTGTCAACAGATGGCAGGAGAAAACGATTTTGTCCTTCCAGTGGCAGCAAAGTAAGATGTGTTGTCTGCCGTCGTGGGTTTAACTCTCGAAGTAACCTTCGTTCTCACATGCGGATACATACCTTAGAGCGCCCATTTGTCTGCAAATATTGTCAGAAGTCATTCAGCCAATCTTCTACGTTGAAAAACCATGTAAGGCTTCACACAGGTAAGCCCCAAAAATGTGTTATTAATATTATAGGAGAATTGCATCATCCCTGTCTCTGAATAGTTTAAGGATTTGAAAATGCTATAACTGTGTTTTGTATAGTTAGCAGCCTGTACTAGTCACCTAAGTATCTTTACTGATTAGTTACTTTTTGTTATTAGAAGCTAATTATCAATTAGTTTATATTATGCGTTTTTTAGTTGTTAATCTGTTTCGATTCAGGGAAATCTACAGAAAGTATATGTGATGCCAAAAGCTAGTACTCGATCCTGGATCGTCTTGTTAGAAAGACAGGTGCGGTATCTACTCTCATTCCACTGGAAATTAATTATTTAAGTTTTCTTTCCTCGTTCTGTGATTCATCTCTCATCATTTTCGTTCTGGTCCATTTTATTGTGTGAGCTTCTCTGACATAATGGGCTGTTATAAGAATATTATTTTGTATTTTAACACATGAACTCAGAACAAAATTATTACAAGCACTCTATATAGAAAATATCTTACCCAAGAAATTACTAACATTTTTTTCTTCAACTTTTGTTCAGCTTTAAGAAAGCTTAAAATATGATAGATTTTTTTTCCCTTTAGGAAATAGTTCGCGTTTGAATTTTTCTTATTTACTACACATTTTGTAGATTTTATGTATTGCATAATAACGTTTTTACTTTTATTTGTAGTAAGAATTTGTAACACTGAAGTTAAAAACAACTTTTTAAAACTTTGTTTGTCGTAAGGATTTTTGACATTGAAGTTAAGCCTATGTTGATAGTAAGAGTTTGTAACACTGAAGTTAAACCTTTGTTTGTGGCAAAGAGTTGTAGCACTGAGGTTAAAATTTTATTTGTTGTAGAGATTTATAGTACTGAAGTTGAACCTTTATCGTTTGTAAGAGTTTCTAATGCTAAAGTTAAATCGTTTTGATGGTCGATATAACTGCTACATTAACTCTGGACGAAAGTGAGTCCTTTAATTCAAGGAACCCTCTTCTGGAAATTGCACCAAAGTTCCTATTTGTTGTCATGCCTTAAGTTTCTTCTGTTTTGCATCGTTGGCACATATGTCTCTGCATTAAAATTGTGAAATGTGCAATAAAAGGCTTTCACAATGTGTTGTGTTTGTTGAAATGTTAAGTTTCAAGATGTTAATTTTTGTGATTATTTAGGCTAACTAATATGTAATATCTTAGATGTAGAATCAGTACAGTTTTTGATAAACTTCATTGTTTAAACACAAGTATGTACACAGTGTTTTCAAAGAATACCTGTGCTTTAATAATTTTAAAGGATTTTTGAAAGTTCGATATCCCTTAATCTTTAACAAAGTCGTTTTTCAGTAATCACGAACATATGAATACGTAGTATTGCATCCCTGTACTACGCCTTAAAATTTAAAATACCTGAATTCAGTTCCAAATACTGAAATATAAGTACTTATTTCATGCGTTCACTTATGAGAACTACATGGATATTTTGGTTCATTTTGTACGTTCATCATGCTCCAGAAAGTCAATACTCCCATTTCTGCTTCAGATTTGATCATTTGTTGGTTTTCGGTTTCGGTTATTGTTCCGTATAATTATATAACCTTGTTGGTTGTTGGAGCACGTAGAGGATTTTGTCGGAACTACAGACTACTACACTGGTTCAAGTGTTGGTAACTGGGCAAATGCAAAAGCAAACGGCAACTCATTTTGGTGTATCATTGTCTTTTATGGAAATGTTATGAACAAGATTTCTGCCAATTATCAATGTCGTGGAAGACCAACATTGAGTAATATCCGCCATCTGCAATAACATAGACTTTGGGTTTTGACAATCCTCTTCCCATAGATTTAGTTTGGACTTGAGGAGCAAACAACAGGGGACAAATTTCACGAGTCTGGCTTAAGATCGAAAAGGTCTGCTTCGGTTCAGTAGATGACCACATAGCAGCAAACAGCTCGTTTGGACTTTTGGTCGAAATCACCAAATTCGACAAATAGATGCTGTTGTACTTATATGGGAATTTAATGCTCAAGATGTATTGTTGTGATATTAAACCCAGCTTAATGACATTTCGCGAGTGCAGTCGGACTAGACTGCTTTTCTTCAGGAACGTGCCCAGTTTGATACTGGAAAACAAATTTGAATAACCATAGAGGTGGCATATTGGTCTGCAGGGAGTTTATAGATCTATCTCTAATAATAACATAAGATTCTGAATAACGTTGTCCTGGCTGATAAGATGTTGGCATGTACTGCAGATGCAAAGACTGTATCAATGCTAGGGGGTTCATTACTAAGTATATATTTTTCCTACATTCGCTTTTATTTTCAGACAATTTATTTAGTCAAACACTAACTGCGACCACATCCATAAGAGAAAAACAGTAAGTATCTTAAGTGTAAAAAAAAATCACAATAATTTTAATCACATGGTGTAACGTTATAACACATTACGACACTGAGAATAAATTCAACAACATATTCTTTACTGGGTCAGTACGAAACAGTAATTAGGAGAGTTTATAATATCATATCGACTGCACTATTTTATGTACACTGCTGTAGCTAAGGCCTTAAGTTAAGCGCTAAAACTCAATGTCGGTTTGGTTAAAACATCCAAAGTATTAGCTTCAATGCTACTTTCGTCAGTTGTTTTCATGACACCAAGTCTTATGACATATAACAGCCGAAATATAAATACTGTTTCAATTAAGACTTGATAAGTACAGGTACTGAGTTAATCTAGTACAGCGCCAATAGAAAAGGTTATCGTTTGCTTCTAAAGCTGAAAGAGAAAGTCCAAATTATTTAGAAAGATGCACCTTTGGGTAGTACGAAATGGGTATCAGTACAAAAATGTGTGTAGTCAGGGCGATTTTATAGGGGATCAAATGTAAGGGCCTGCGTATGAAGGCCCTATGGCTATTGTGGCTGTTAAATGTATTTATTCTCCAAATGTAAATTAAAACTAGAAGAAATTTAATGTGAAAGCTTAAAATTTAAAATTGTATTCAACTTTTAATAAAAGAGTAACATGAAAATAGCATTTAGGGGGTACTGGTTTCATATGACCTCTGCAAATATGTAATAACTGTTACAAAAGAAATTTGACCTCTAGTTATCTCTCTAGTTGCGTGTTTAATCATTTGTGGTATTTTACATAAACACAGTTCATATTTTTTTCGGAAACAAGTATCAGCATTATCACAAAATGTAAAAAGCATGCATACTGATTCGGTCAAAATGACCGACCTTGTAACCATCATGTAGCCGTGAAACTATACTTACTACAACACTGAATGTTCTATATGTATATTTACACAATTTTACAAGCTTTCAGTAAAAATTACACAAAAGAACAGATTTTTTAATTAAGTATTTTCACTATATAGTTGCCTGTGAATTCACTGAGTCAGAATCTGACTCAAATTCTGAATGGTCTGAGGGCAATGTTATTTTCATGTTAAGATTAAAAATACTTTTTTTTTTCATCTTACAGTTTTTACATTTCATTTGCAGAACCTGTAAAACTTTTTGAAATAAATATCAAAAATTTTTTTCAGTAAACTTTATATTTTATCTGTTGTTTTCTCTACCACAAGGAGGCTAGTACAAGGATGTTCTTGCACTGCATGTACTCAAAAACCAATGTTTGTAATATCGTTGTCGTCTGTTCTCCCGGTACTGACGTAGCAATGCTGTGTTGTTATCATTATAATGCTATTGGTGGATACCAACTGTTTTATCTTACTGGATCTGGGGCAGAGTTAAGGTACTTTATTGACCATAACACTGTTGGATTTATAATCGAGTAAGTCTGTAAATATCTACTAGCAATTCACACTTTAACTGAAGTTTATCAGGAATCGACAAAAATAAAAGCTCATCATAAAGACTTGTGTCTTTTGTTGAACGTATGAAACAATACATCTACCATAAGTTGTTTTTTTAGTAGCTGCAAAAATCTTCACGTACGGCCAAAAGTTTGAAAATCCAAATATAAACATTCAAATGACAAGCTTTCAAACATTTGTATCTGAATCTATGCATTGGGACCCATTCTACGTCTACTATCTCCAGTAATTAGAGGTTGTGAATAAGATGATATTGGATCTCTTGTACCAGGCTTTGTCAAACTTGAAATTTTACTAAATTCAATTGTAGAATTAACTCTGTGTGACTGTACATGGAACTGTTTGCATTAGTTGTCGCTACACCGAGTTGTCGCAAATGTGATAGTGGTTGTAAAATTTCGCAAATGGAAAACTATCAAGTGGATCCTGACTCTGAACTAAACTAGATTATTTCATGACAAAATGGGATGCAGTTCAACATTTCGTTCAAACCATCATTATTCGTGAGCTATATTTATAATTTATAGTCAATGTCCAACATCAAGTTCAAGTGGTGTTCCTTTAGGGAGCTTTCCACTCCTAGTGTTCCTCAGACCAGAGACCCCTAATCCCAGCTTGACATTATTTCATTAATGTTGTGCACCTACTCGCCTCGACTACTTTTAATGATTATATCCCACCGTATACACAGAATATTACACCAGTCAGCTAATCAAACCATTAAGCAAAATAATAATTGTTGGAATTTTCTACCTCAAATTTCAGTTTTTTATGTCACTTCAGTGTAAAGTTTATCTTTTAAAATATTCTTTCTAACTAACTTAACCCGTGTTGGTTAGTTTAAATAGCTTAGTCCAACGAATTCAAAGCATGGGGATATATAAACTTAGATTCTCTCCACAGGGAAGGCATGTGCCAAATTTTGAGCCCCAGTGAAATTTCCCTGACTGCCCCAGCTTTAGTACTGCCACCCGATTGAAGTTCCATAATAATTTGTTAATCAATATCTATACCATTTTCCCTTTCAGCTTGTGAAATAAACGGAACTTATTTCTAGGGCCCCTTTTCATCATTGGCTCCCCAACTAGCGTTGTGTATACAATAATCACACTTTACTAGTTTAAGCATTAAACATGACAAAACTTAATAATATGCTTGTCCTTATCAGTACATTTTTAGTTTAGTATCAGCAGCGATCATCGTTGTATTATTTTTTCCCTTCAATATCAAGTCAAAAGAACTAGTTGTTGTTTTAAGAAGTTTCCACTCAGATTGAAAACAAAAAATATGTTATGTTATTTGTAATCTTGTCCTCATAATTTATCTCAAATTTTTCATCTTTACTAGGAGAGCGGCCCTATAAGTGCCATGTTTGTCACAGTGCCTATTCTCAGCTGGCAGGTCTTCGAGCTCACCAGAAAAGTTCCAGGCATCGCCCTCTTGTGTCAGAAAGAAATGGCTCATCGAAGTGATTTTATTTTTTGTTATTATTGATGTGGAAATGAACCTTTGTTTATAGATATTTTTACCGGAAACATTTTGCCGATGCTTAGCAATTCCAAAATACTACTGAAAAAAAGAGAAATTAAAAATTTAAATAAACTGAATAAAAATATACATTTTTCACAATTATTTAAGAGGGTTTATTTTCGAACCTAAACTCAGGGAAAATGAATACATCAATCGTACTTTTCGCAAAATTCATTCCACTGATTTGTAAAAATCATTACAAAAGTCTGTAATTTTATTGGTTTATTTTTGATTGTTTGAGATTTTAATCTAGCTCTTTGTTTTTGACACATTCACACATATATGGTATTCTTTATCAATTCAAGAACATCAGCAAACTTTCCAAGGGTAGATTTTCATTCATCAGAAGCTAGAATCTTTATATTTTCTGTTTTGTGTGTATTCTCATTTTGGAAGACACAAATGATGATAAAGTGGTACAGAAGAGACTAAAATAAAACAACAACCTGAAACTGATTTTGTGAGTAAGTACTAGTATATTCTCGTTGATTATTCTTAAGAATACAGGTAATTGTTTTAGATGATGTGTCAAAATAAACGACGGAAAACTTCAAAAGGTGGACAGTTTAGATGTATCATACCATGGAGGACAAGTCGTTGTGATTGATACTGTTTAATACTGAACAGCATGAAAGAGAAGATGGGTAAATATGGATACCGCTAAGAAACAAGCGTCAGTAGGGATGGTGCTAACCATAAGGATCCTAGTCAATAGACTGATGAATGTGTGTAATATATATATTTAAAAAAAAACGATGACACAACGTGTATGATAATTTTGAAATAATTAACATCACGTACGGATGATGCAAGATTGATCTCTGTAGGGTCTTGTTGTTGATAGACCCATTGGATTTGTACTGATAGTAATGGAACAAACTATTAGATACAGAATTATCTGGTAGATACTCAGATATAAGAGTAAATGTAATCTCTCTTTAGTTTTAGCCTTGGTTATTTTATGACAATATAAAGTTATTTATGCAATTTTTATTTAACATCGATATTGTTTCAATTTCGTTAGTTTGAGTTTTACAATGAAGAAGTGCAGTACCTGTGTACTTTTCAATTAAAAAGTAAAAAAGTCAAACAGTATAAATTTTTAATATTTATATAATATAACCTATATATATGATATTGCATTTTGTATGAAAAGCTTTCTAATAAATTTATAATTACATTTGTATATTTTTTAAAGTTGTCGTTTTTGTGTATTTCATTTGTTATTCCTTTTCTGTGGTTTGTTAAAACTATTTTGATTAGAAGGATTTTTTAAATGAAATGTTTTGGCAAAGTTCTTGAATCGCTGGAAATTAGTATGAAATGTATACTTACAGCACGTGCTGTTCTACAAAAATTTCAAAGTAATGCAATTACAATTTAAAACCTAATTGTACGAGTGTTCTCGTTTTTCTTAAAAATAAACCGCATTATCAAATACAATTTTGAAGAAAACTTCTGTATCTTGATAGTATTGTCCACGTTCTGTATTCGTACAAAAATATAGAATATGTTAGGTATACTACAATTTGAGTATAAATGTAAAAGAAGCTGACTTATGTTTAACAAGAAAATTGAAATAAAATAATATAGGTTTAATGTTGAACACGCACAAACAATTAATGGGAAGATACTACAACTCAACGCTTATATATTTATAAATTTTCAAATTAATGTATTTTTACTTTTTACAGATACAGATTGTATAAATTTTTCCATACATTTAAGTTATAAATTTGCATTTAATTATGAACTGAATTGTATAATTAATTAATAATTTGCCATCATACAGTATCATGAACTAGTTTGTCTCCTGTATATCTAGGTCTTAAAATATCCGTGTACACTGTAGTAAATCATGTCTTCGTAGATTGCAAAAATGAATAACCACGGCATATACTCAACGAAGCTTTTATTTAATTAAGAAATTTCGTGTTGACCAGTACAGTTATATATATATATACACGCATATATATATATATATATACTTGTACATAATTTTCTCGTTAACGTATACGTATTTATAATCGCGTTCATATGTTGTTTAAAACCACCTATAGTCCCAGCTCCAGCTCTTCTCTCTTGAGGGGGAAGGGGAGAGTGGAGCTTTATTAACATTTTATAAAAATCATGCGATTTTGTAGAAACTTTAGCGATACAAGTCCTTTCTTAAATAAAACTGGTTTATTCTTTCTGAATACAACTTTGCAATACACTTA